GGGGGAGGGGGTTGATGGGAAGGGGATTGGGATTGGGATTGGGAGGAGGAAGGAGGAGGGGGAGAGGAGGTTTGATGGTGAGGTGGAGGTCGAGCAGCAGCAGCAACCACATCAATGGGGGGAGCAGGTTTCTGGGTTTGCGAGCTCGCAGGGTCAGGGTCAGGGTCAGGGGGGTAGCTTGCTGGGATTGGGGGCGTTGAGGCGCGGGATCGAGGAAGAGCCCAGGGAGCATCAGATCGCGCGGGCGATTGTGAATGATTGTCTGGAGAGGGGGGATGATAGTGTGGACTTGAGGTGAGTTTCTGTTCCTGCAGTATTGCCTATCAAGATGCCCTCCGAGCATCACTGACAACAACAACAGCGGCGGAAACCTTCGCAGCATCCCGTCCGGCCTGCTTCGTCCGCTGCAGCACCTCACCAAACTCCCCGCCATCAAGGAACCCCCCGTCACGGAAGACGTCTACACCTCGCTCGAGCCGTTCCTGCGGCTGTTCCTCGCCGGGAACGCCCTGCCCAAGCTGTGCGGCGAGCTCTTCGAGCTGGACACGCTGCGCGTCCTGAGCCTGCGCAACAACAAGCTCACCGAGATCCCGGCCGCGATCCGCCGCCTGACCATGCTGCAGGAGGTCAATCTGTCCGTCAACCGGCTGCGCAGCCTCCCCTGGGAGCTGCTGTGGTTGATCCGCAAAGGCGACCTGAAGCATCTCACCGTGCGGCCGAACCCGCTCCTACAGATCGACGACGGAGCCCACGACCCCGAGGCCGCCGTGGCCGAGTGGCACATCCCCCGCGAGGAGCTGCGGTCGTGCGTCTACGAGGGCCCCGCGCCCGAGCAAGCCTGGGCCCCCGTGCATGTCGCCACCGGCCCCGTCCGCCGCTACAATGCCGAAGGCGTGCTGCTGCTGCCGCCGGCCGGCAGCAGCTCGCAGCCTGTTGGAACAGCAATGGAGCTCGATGCCGCCACCGACACCGACACTGACCCCTCCACCAACCCCCAAGACCGCCCATGCCCAACACCCCTCCCTCCAGCTGCCTCGCGCGTCCCCTCCCTCCGCGAAGTCGCCCTCCTCTCGCTCACCCGCTCCCCGTCCTTCGATCTCCTCTCGGACGCCGAGCTGGCCGGCTACCCGGCCTTGATGCTGCGGCTGCTGCGCGACGCAAGGGAGGTGCGCGCCGCCGGCGGCCGCAGCTGCTCCGTGTGTCACCGTGGGTTCGTGCTCGCGCGCACCGAGTGGATCGAGTGGTGGGACTGCAGCACGTACGAGAACGGGTTGAAGGGCCCGCGGCCGTCCGGGGAGGGGCTTCGGCCGTTGCCCTTCCGGCGGTTGGGGTGTAGTTGGGGGTGTGTGCCGGGGGCTGAAATCTGAGGGGGTGTATGCGTGTGTGCTGAGATCTCAGATTTGAGGGGGATTGCCGCTGCGGGGGGGCTGTATATACCGTGCACGGTTCAAGGGTTTCTGTGATGGCTTGGGGAGTGGCGGGGTGTATGTATTGTACATTTTGTATCATCTATGGCATATACTTAGACCATTAGCTGTCGGCTTATGGGGCAGGATGCAGCGAGTTTGACTGATGTGTTTGAGCCTGTTGTTTGTGTTTGTGGTTTGCTCATTTGCATGTTTGCAGGATGTTTTAATGTGGATGTGGGTGTGGTTTCTTCTTGACCAGGGTTGAAATGTAGTCACATTCTACTGGTGGCGTGTATTCTCCCGTCCCTTTCTGGGATGGATTGACGAAGATATGGGTATTAGAATCTAGAGAGTCAAGGGAGTCCGACTGCCTGGCGGGAATTACTCCCACGACCACGACCACGACTTTTTCCGCTCACGCTTATAATGCAGACAATTCAGTGTATTATTTCTCTCCGCAAGCAACAAGACAGGCATCCACACCGAGTACCTTCAGGACCCCAGCCGTCAAATCTACAACTTCCCCCTCAACCTGCCCATACCCTTGGGCCTCTCCACCCCCAAATTCCCCACCGAAGCCTCGAACCCCTCCTCCGAAGCCCTCAGCATCTCGCCCCCCTCCGACTTCTTCGACCGATAACCGCCCCAAAACCGCTCCTCCGCCTTATACCTCGCGAACCAACCGCCCAACCACCCCGCCATCCTCTCCGCGCACCACCCCACCTCCTCGACAACCAACATATGCGACCCCGACCCCAGCACCGCCTTCTCCACCTTCCCCTCCTTGCATCCACCACTCCCGCCCGTCCCGGACCCCGTCAACTGGAGTTTCTTGTCCTGCTCCGCCGGCGGCGAGAGATAGCTCCGGCCCCCAAACACCCAGAGCACGCTGGGCCGCACGAAGGGGAGGTTACGCATGCTGATCTGGCACTCCGGGCGGGAGACTCTGAAGGGCCGCTCGAATTCGCTGTCCCAGTCCGGGAGGAGGAGGGGGTCGAGGTTTGCGGCGGCGGGCTCGAGGTTCGGGACGCTGTAGCTCCATGTTTCGTGGTGCTTGGTTGTCGTTAGGGTTACTGCTTTGGTTGGGGTGGGTGGCGGGGTTTGGGCGTTTTCTGTGGGGTTGCTGCTGTTGCTGTTGTCTCCCGGGGTTGAGGGCGTGGTGGTCGCAGGATACAGCCGGGTCGGAAGCTCGCGCAGCCCGAAGTGGAGGTACCGGGACGCGGCGCGGGGGTCCCAGCGGCGCAGCAGGGACTTGCGGAGGGCGGATTCGGCGGCGGCGCGCGAGGGCCACAGGTCTTTGCGGAGGGCGGCGGAGCGGGACGGGTTGGGGCTGCGGCCCGCGGTGCGGCTGGCGAAATCGAGGATGACGGGTTCGATGAGGATGAGGGTCGAGAGGAGGCGTGGGTGCATGATCGAGAGTTGGACTCTGTTTTTTGCTTGGTTGTCAAAGGTGTGTCTTTGGTGACGCTTGGGGAGAATAGCGTACAGCTGCGCACATCCCATGCTATGGGCGACTCCGATCATCGGTCGGGTCATTTCCTCGCGGAAGTGGTTGACCATGTGTAGGAGGTCGCGGGAGTGGTCGAACCAGTTTGCTGTTCCGATTGTGTTAGTCTTCGATCGATGATATCGCGGGCGTTGGGGGTTGGGAGGGGGGGATTACTGTGATCGCCCTGGATATCCTCGTTCAGGACACCGCTGGCGCCCTGGTTCGAGACGTCAGCGACCCAGATGGCCCGTAGCGGGATGGAGTGCTGCTTCAGCTGGGCATAGAGGTCTTCCCATAGTGGCTCGTAGATTTCCTGGGCTTTATGATCGGGACGCCATTCTTTTGAGGTCTGCTAGACTGACTTACCTTGGGAAAGCCTGTGCCGTGCGCCCCGATAATCGTGACAGCATGTTCGGGGATAGGGTCGGGTCGGTCGACAGGGATGTATTGTTTGATGGCGAGTCGGAGAGCGGTCTCTTGACGGCCTTTGATGGCGTGGTGGTGATCGCGAATATGCTGGCCGGGAATCGAGTGCTCAATAATGTGAAATGGACTGGTCTCCATGATGTTTGGTGTTTAACTTGGAGGTTTAGATGTTGTAGTGGTGGTGGTGTTGGTGGTGGGTGGTGAGCTCTGGGGAAGTGGAGTAGAAGGAAAGCTTGAGTGCGGGTGCGGGGGAGGTTCCAGTGCGGAGTTCCAGCGCCCTTTCGGGTTGATTTCCCCATTGTTACTCCGTACTGTACAGTACCTTAGTGACTTAGTACAAGCTGACTGACTAGTGCTGATCTCAGCTGATTCCTGTTCACATGAATTCCAGTGACACCATCCACGCTGCACTCTACAAGGGATACATTTTTACACAAATTGACATGTGATGATGAGTAAAACTTCGTCCCTCCATTCTTAGTCTCGCATTGTCAGATAACTTCGGTGCTGACCTACTCCTACCCAAACAGTGCCGCGATCTCATCCTCGTACAGGCTGAGAGTCTGCAATCGGGCTACGCTACCCTTGATTGTACGCACAAAAGGCTTGTCCTTGCTCGCAATTATGATCCGGTCCGCCGAGAGTTTGACACAGTCATGCACATGTGCATTGACCTTTTCGAGATACGGATGTAGACTTTCAACCAGAGACTGATGATCATGACCCACCTCCGCTTCGGGGAAGAACTCGACAATGAGCACAGGCGCTGGACGACCGTGGCCACCGATCAAAGCCGACTTCACGCCCGGGTGGGCTTCAACCTCAGGCTCCAACAGCGAGGCATGCAGCCCGTCCGCGTGTGCGAGAGCCACGTAATCGTCGGTACGCCCGATGATCTTCCACGAGCCTTTGTGCTCAGGGTGCTCAACCCACAGATCCTTGGTCTCGAAGCGATCTCTGTCCGGGTACGCAGAGAAAATCTGCTGCATAGCACATTCTGGTCGCCGAACGAACACTAGCTCATGTAGATTATTGAAACGATGCTCGAACTCGGCGCCTGCGTGTTTCTGGAAGGTGATGTAGTCCCACGGGCGGTCCTTGTCTTGGACTGTGGTGAAATAGCCCCCTGCCTCGGTGCTGCCTATACAGGGCACTAGATGAGTGTATGGAGCCAGTTGTGCACCGGCCTTGGCAGAAAGAGGCGCCCCGGCAAAGTGCACGTATTTGAGGTTGCGTAGAGCCTCCAGTCCAGACGGTATGAGACAAAGCTCATCGATGAGGGCGGGAGTGAGCAAGGCTCCATCCACTCGGCCATGATGCAGGATGTCCGCAACAATCGGGGGTGAAGGGGGAACCGAAGGACCCACGACCGCGACCATATGAACGAAGGAGGTCATAGACAGGGTCATCACCGTACCCACAAACTAGATTAGTCAGTACTCCGCGCGAGAAAGTAGATCCACGAGTTCTAGACACACATGAAGCGAAGGTAATGGCGTATACCACCGTTGAAGAGCATATTGATGCACGTGAGTATACTCGATGTCCGGGAGAGATGCAGCAATGTCTGGACTCGTCATCATCCGATGGGTATACGTAATGGGTTTGGGGAAGCCTAACTCAAACTTGTCAGCAGGCAGTGTACCAGAAGTAGTCATAGCCCACGGAGGATGGATGTCTACCTGTTGTGCCAGACGTATGAAAGACAATCCACGGGTCATCCTTTCCCTCCTCCCAAGTCTTTGCATACGTATACGGCGCAGCCTCAGCATCCTGCAAGAAGTCGCCGAGCTCAGGAACCGTCAAAGTCTGAATCTCAGGTGTCTCCCGAAGAATAGCCGCAACATGGTCTGCCATGGATGCAGGTCGCAAGTATACCGTGCAGTTCTTCTGCCGGAAGATACGTAGTTGAGCCTCGGGCGTGATGAGAGGAGAAGGAAGTACGATCTGTAGAACGACATCAACGTCACTTCCTTGTGGGCAAGAGAAATCCAGGGCAACAGACCACTTTCTGTAACTTGGCCGCGGCAACAGCAAGAATAGGATAGCGAAAGTCCTTGGGTCCTGCATAGGCAAAGCATTGAAATAGCCCTGTTGTGGCAGGCAGATTCTGGTGAAGCCAATGGGCGGCGTGATTGGCTGCGTTATTCAGTTGTTGGAAGCTGATGTCTCGAAAGCCCCGCGAGAGATCGGCGTCGTCGATGGGGACTGACACCCACGGGCTGTTGGGTTCGTTCTTTGCACGGTTCTCCACAAGGCTAGCGAGAATTCGCTGGCCGTGTTGGATGCCTGGTAGAGGAAATGGTGATTTTAGTTGCTCCATGGTAATGTTTCTTGGGGTTGAGAGAGATGGGGAAGAAAGTGGGTGGAGGGGAAGAGGAAAGAGAAGATGTGGGAGAGAGAGTGAGGGGAAGAGCAGAATGTGATCAGCTGCAAGGGAGTGTGTCGCACAAGGACTTTCTCTCCATACATGTACTCCATTTTAACGATGTTCATGGAGCAGCATGGTGTAGTCAATCAAGTCAGTCGAACATGCTTGTCTCCTCTTCGTTTAATTTGGCCAAATACGCTAGATATCCAGTGAGGCTTTGTGGTCCGACCGAGGCATGAGGAGAATGGTCTGAAAAGAAGCTCAGTGTCCTGTAATATAGCACAGCTGGAACAATCCAAATCACTCTGACTGTATTATGAAATGGAGGCAATAGAGAGTGGTCATGTTTCTTTTTTCATCAATTCCCCATCAATTGACTTCCAATTGACTTCAATTGAACCTTTGTGTCAATGGCAAAGACAAGATAGACAATGCCGGTAGATTTCAGGCAAGTAGGATCTACACAAACATTGAAGGCCGAGATACTCGAAGTCAAAACAATGCCATTGTTCACAAGTGACGAACAAAGCCGCTGTAGACACGGATCACCTTTTATAGCCTCGAAACAGGATCCTGCCCCGGACTCGCAAGACGATCTAACCCAAGGTTGCTGATACTCCACGCCTTGACCCTCGTTCAAAATGTGCTCCACCATGTCTCGATTCACCACCA